GACGGGCTTTTGTAAGACAATTTCCACTCGCATAAGCTCAGTTTTTATTTGCTTTTGCTCCTCCTTTGTTTTTATTCACAGGCTCCAATTCTTTGATTTCGCTTTTTTTTTATAAGCTCAGGCTTGCTTGAATTTACTTTTCTTTGTGATGCTGTTTTGTCTCTTCTTCCTTACAAAGTGCCAAGCAGTGTCGCAAGTGGCGCCACAAAATAGCATAAGCAAAAAAGCTAGGACGTCTCTCAGTGGCATCGAGCGGATTTTAGTAATTACGCTAACCGACTAAAACTCGGCTTCACAGGTGGCACAATGTGCACTCTTGTTCGAGTTTGGGTTTGAGTTGCAGGAGTCGCGGTGCGGGGTTTTTTGATTAGGATGGAATTCCAGGAGTTGCGTTCAGTGCTGCAGACTTCTCTGCATTCTCAAATTTCGGGCTGAGCATGGCGAGCCCCTGTAGCCCTCTGCTTCTACATATGCCAACATGTTACCTACATGGAAATGTAAGTTTTGCTTGAAGGAGACACACTCGGACGATTTTTGCGCATAACAGCAATGCAGCAAATATTTTTGAAAAATAACCACATTTGCTGAACGGAATTGCACAAAACGCGGGATCGCAGCAGCTGTTTCGCGGTGCGCGTCGCTAATTTGGGTTGTTTTTTTTTTTTTTTTTTCAGAGGAGCGCCGATGAAGGCGAATGCGCTGGTGATGTGCCCTGTGAAACAGTGTATGGCCATGGTTATTTCTGTCGGTGCTGTGGCTGATTGCGAGCTTCTCTTATGTAAGTCTCAGTTCCGCAGTTTTTGTCAGGACCCATAGAGTAAGTTGCGAGGTACAGTAGCGCTCGAATTAATTAATTGCAAATAGCATATTTTTTTTTGGCATGAAAATAATATTGGAGAGGAATTGAATCAGCTAAGCTTTATAGCTTTCCTGGCTTCTGAGTTAGCAACTAACTGGAAAAAACTTCCATGGACCGTACGTGGGTACCACGCATACCCCGTATCTGGGTTTGAGCTCCTTGGGGCTTACGTGGACGGGGAACATCCTCTTAAAACTACAGTCAGAAATGTTTCTGTGCATGAGAAGTCGTACACATTCCCGTTCAGCACCACAACCAGAAGACCTCTGTCGCGACGGGACGGTTGTAGTGTCCAATTATTTTAAACGATCTCATGCACTGTGCATCGAGTAATTGCAAAAACCGGTTTGTTTATGAAGGATTATCTTTGAAGGACTTTCCCAGCTGCCAGATATCATCGATGCAGAGACGTGGAGCCCGATGTTGTGGTTGTCAGAACTGTCACTGCACTATCGGCCCACTTGCAAGTGGATTTGTGAAGAAGTTGCTTCTCTTCTGAAAGCGATCTGGGCACTGCTGACGTGGCACATTGTGTTGCAGGAATTGTATTTGTCAGATATGTGAAGGGAACGCGCCAACGGGCACCACAGGGCTAACATGCTGTAGCAGCAACAGCAGCAGCCGTGATGATTATTCATCTCAGCGAATGAGGAACAACGAGCGATGTCGAAAAACAAGAAAGTTACCATTTCTCT